ACTTTTGAAAAACAATATATATTTTTTATTTTCATTGTAATACATTATGTTTTATATTTTTCTGTTTTGTTTGTTGTGAATATAATCACTTTTTTTTTCTCACTCATTCTTTCACTACCTTTCAATTCATTGTTTGTTTGATTATATATCCTAAAAACAAGCTTCTTTTTGGGTTTTATATTTATTGACCAAATACACACACACACACACACACAATGTATCATTTTCATTTAAAATGAAACCCGACCAAACAACAACAACAACAACAGCAAAAATTCATTTGTAAATAAAGTAATAATAATAATAATAATAATAATAATATAGAAATGGTTAACCATCATCATCATCATTATAATCATCATCATCATTATTATCATTGTATTCATTTCAAATCGATTCATTCATTCATTCATTCATTAATCGTTGGACCATATAAAAATTGTCCTACAAAAAGAAGAAGAAGAAAAAAAATTGATTATATCATATGGTGTGTGTGTGTGTTTTTCCTATTGTAATCACATTCATTCATTCATTTTCTCATTGGTTTCATTGGGTGTTATTTAACTGTTTGATCCATAATAGATAAAAATTGTATATATTTCTTTCTTTTCTTGGTCTTTTTTTTCGTTAACAAATTTTCATTTACTACTGATGAATCAATGATGATTATGATCAAATTCCAAACTCATTAATGTTGTTGTTGTTGTTGATGATGATGATGATCATTATCATCATAAAGGTTGTTTGCTTGTTTTAGGGGAGAATTTTTCGTTTTTTTACTTTTTAGTTTAGAATTTTATTTTTGGGGTTCTTGGCTTATCTATGATACAACAAAACAAATAAACAAAACAACAACAGCAATATTTGTCATCATCATCATTATTTGAATTGATGATGATGATGATTGTCATGTCCGGTTATTGCGAAATTTATGTTTTTCTTTTTTTAAATCTCTAATAATGCTACTACCTTTCTTTTGAGACAAATTTTTCATTGTTATTTATGGATTAAATGAGAAACATCAACATCACTGTTACTGACCACCATCGTCATCAACATCATTATTATCATGGCTATGTGTGTGTGTGGACATCATACACATCACACATCCATGACCGTTAGAAATTCATTGGAAATTTTTGTTTTTGTTCATCAAATTTAATTATGATCCCTTTTTTTTTTGTTTTCTCTTTTCATCCATCCAATTCATCTGGAATCGAATGGATGGATTTTGTTGTTAACAAACAGATGTCTGCTGCTAGTGAGCACTTTGATAATGATGTTTTTTTTTGGGTACAGTTTGGATCAGAAAAAAGGAAAGAAAAGAAAAGAAAATCTTTCTTAAATCAATCGGAAATCAATGTGTTAATTTTATGAGATTTTTTTTTTGTTTGGCCAGAACCATACAGCAACAACAACAACAACAGGGATTTATTGTTGTAAACAACGAAAAAAAAATAATTAATAATTATTAATTTTCTATAGGTTTTTTTTGTTGTAATAATGATGTTGACAATGACAATCAAAACTATAAATAAATGCACTTTATCTTGTTGTTGTTGTTGTTTTGTTATTATTTTTTTTCACTGTAATTGGATTTTAATTTAATTAAAATGAAAAATGAAAGCAAAAACAACACAAAAATAAAATTAATAAATGATTGCTTGTTGTTGATGAAAAAAGATATTGTACTTGGTTTGTTTGGTCGGTTGAATGAATGAATGAATCTGGTTTCCTCTTTTCCATAGATGTCAATAATTTGTATTTTTCAATTCAATATTGAATGTCGATCGTTTTTGATTGTTCTTTATCGAAATTCATTTTTGAAAAGTTCATTGTTTTGTTGATTTCCGCATCAATTCTTTTGTTTGTGTGTGCGTTTGAGAAAAATGACAAATCATCATTGATGATGATTATGAAATCTCAATTTCATCACCGGAAATTCAAATCAAAATGATAATGATTTTTTAAAGAAAAAAAAATTCCAATTCCAGTGCTACCATCTATCGATTTTCATTTCTAATGATAATTCAAAAAAAGGAAAAAATTCAACACGTTAGCATCATTTGGGTGAAAATGAAATTAAATTAAAATTTTTCATTAGCTGTGGTTCCATTAATCCTCCTTCGATATTCATTTCATATTAAAATCAATATTCAAATCATGATGAAAATTTGATTGATTTCTGGAAAATTTCTTTAAAAAAAAAAGGAAAATTAATTTCATTTTTATCATTATTAATGATGAAATCCAATAAATAAAGAATATTCTTGGAAGATAATCTTTGAAAATTTAATTCCAAGGAAAATTAATCAATTTTTTTCTTTGTTTGATCCGAGTTTTTGAAATTCTTTACACGTATTTCGAATGCGTGTACAGAATTTTTCTTAACACTGTGTGTGACGCCAACTATTGGTCGAAAATGAAAACAAAATTGAAATTTTACAACAAAAAAAAAGAAAAGAAAATTGAATTTACAAATGATATTTTTACACCAATGAAAACATTTCATTCATAACATTTCACGAATTTTTGGTGGCAAATGAATTCAATTTCATAAATAATCTAATTTAAATTCATAATAGTTAAGCTTGGTGTGAATAGCAATTGTAAATTTTTATTTTTTTGGCTTGTTGTTTTCTCATCATCATCATCATTATCAGGATCAACACACACAAACTTTAGATAAGATGTGATTCTCTACGAAGGAATTCTCATGAAGAAAATAATTTTCTTTTTTGCCCGAAATCGTAACATTTGACGATGATGATGATGATGATGATGAAAACTATGGTTTTTTGTTTTTTTTTTTTTTTTTTTGTAAAATTAATTTTTAACGGTTTTTTTTTTTTTAACCCCCCT